TGAGATGAGCGTAGAATCGAGGATGAAAAGCCTCTGTGCTCTTAATTAATTGGTAATTTAGCCAACTTTAGAATAATGTTCTTTTTCTTCCTTGGGCATCTTTGCGTGTCGATAGAATAAAAACGAGAGATGCCATTGACATTTTCTCCATGTCGGTATGCAATGACAATCTTGAATCGAAAATATGTTGTTCTAATATGTCGATTTAATAAAAGTTATTCGTTGTTCAAAGCTATCCCTCGAACAATCCATGCCCAATGTCAGTGGCACACAGCCTATAATATTTTATATAAAATTTCAGCCGCGTAAGCTTCATCGAGCTTGATTAATAAAAATATAGCAGCCCCGGTAGGATGTATAATTTATCTTATAAAAACTATAACAATTAAGTAATATATTGAAAAAATTGGAAGCTCGTTTAATGAAACCTTTAATGTACACTTTATCTACGTGTATATTCTTTTATCTGCATGTATCGTCTCCTTTACAGTTTAACACAACGCTATGTTTGTTGAAAAATATAACTATGATTAAACTAAATTATCGCTAAGTAAATAAATTTATCTGTAATATTAAAAAAAAAATATGTTCTAGAAAAAGATAGTAAAATCTAGATTGCAATGGCGATAGATTTTGAAAAAATAGACAATTTAAAATTCGTTTTTGCATGCTCAATAATTACAGGATTCACATCTACAATTGACAATTAAAAATAAAATATGAATGTGGATTGGGCCCCTAAGATGCAAAACGTACGCGTTTTTGTACAAACGTTCGACATTTATATTATTAATTGCATGCAATGGAATGCAAAGTAATTTATTAATAACAGACAGGCATTAAAGGCGAATTACTGGATTTAAATTAAAAGGCACGACTTCACGGTAAATAACTCGAAAGTTTGAAAATCGTTGTAAGTAACAACGAAAGCTTGCCAATTATCGCCCCACCGGTCGTTCAATTCCAAACTGTTAAATTATTATTTCCTTATCTGGTTACATAAAGTACATTGTAATTATCATTACATATTGAATAATTTGGGAAATAGAGGAAGCGATAGAATAATTGTGCGATTCGACAACATGACGCTCATATTTCATGTAAAACTCAACGATATTGGACGGACAATACGATACGGAGAAAACTACAATTACAGTCTCGACTTGTTAATTAATTCTATTGATTATTAATATCATTTAAACGGATTATTTACGAGAATATTTCGCGAATTATTCGTAGTGTGCGCATACGCGGATAAGTGCGTGTGTTATATGTAGGAAAAACATTGGGAAAAAGTTTGCAATTAGAATAACACGAGTAGAGTCTAATGATCATTATATTTATATTTCGTTGATTTATATTTATTTCTCCGCAATTTATTGGCTAACGACACCTCTCGGCATTACAGATGCCACGTTCAAATGAAAACAGTTACTTGCATTATTTTTTATTTATTTACATTTCATAGCAACGAATGTATTTCCGTGGGAGAGTGAGGGAGGGAGGGAGGGAGAGAGAGAGAGAGAGAGAGAGAGAGAGAATGATTTTATTTACTTTTTTTTTTGTTTTTTATTTCTTTTTCCTTTTTTCTTTCTTTTTTTGCATTACATGTGCACAATACACGCGCAAATCGATAATTCATCGCCTTACCACCAACGTTATTTTCAAATGTTTAATGCATTTGCTCATATTTAAGGCGATATTTACGTAGTTTGGTGTATCAGCAGCGGTCACATGCTACTTGATTTTTCCACTTCAAAATACAAAATACGATCTCTTACAGCCATTACACACTATTTGTATTCAAACAATAATGTTTTAATATATAATCCAATCAATATAAATAGACGTTCGTGTTAAATTTAACGTGAAGCTTAACTTCACATATTTACATCTGGCCTTAGCTGCTTAGCTACCAAAAGCAAAATTTAATAATTCCCACTCATTTATCATTTATCTATTTATATTCCATCTTATTTAACCGCTTAGTACTATGAAAGAATAGTATCGATCGCAGCTTTAACTCTCGATTTTTAATAAACCCTGTACCATGTAAAATTGAAGTGGAGCGTGGGTGGATGGGTTGGGTTGCCGTCGCGAGATTCTATCGTCGATTAATCCATTGCGTTGAATAATAATAATAATAATAATAATAATAATAACAACAACAACAATAACAATAACAATAACAATAACAACAACAACAACAACAACAATAACAATAATAATAATAATTATTATTATTATTATTGTTATTGTTGTTGTTGTTGTTGTTGTTATTGTTATTGTTATTGTTATTGTTGTTGTTGTTATTATTATTATTATTATTATTATTATTATTATTAAACGCAATGGATTAATCGACGATAGAATCTCGCGACGGCAACCCAACCCATCCACCCACGCTCCACTTCAATTTTACACGCAGTCTTTCTCTCTTATCAGTTGCAAAGAAAAAATTTCAATTAGCCGTAAGATAACTACGTCCTGCGTCATTTTTAATATTGAATAATCGTCAGCGGCGGGGCGCCTCCTCGTCCCCTGTAAGGCCTTGGTTGAAAAAAAAATAGTTTGACATAGGAGAGGGAACGGGAGTCATGTTGATTATTATTGCGAGTGGAATAACAAGAGAATCCACGGCTCCTACTACCATTGCCACGGACTCGCAAACTCGGATCGGCTTTAGTCGGACAAGCCGAGGACGAGCAGTGTCTTCGAATTACCGTTTCCAAGGAAGGGGAAGGTGGCACCGGTTCGAGGAAGTCGAAGATGTCGTTGTACGCGTCGACGAGCATGATGCAGTAAGAAAGAGGAGGTAGTGATCGAGTAGTAAAATTCAAGGCAACTGAGTTACGGGGCGCGAAGCTACGTTATGTACGTGGAGACGAAGGATGGACCGGATTGCGGAGCGCGGCCGTCGATACGGACGGGAACTTGATTGACCCGGAGCGACCGAGCACCACGTCGCCTCGTCTCGGTCGCCGCCTACAATATCGTTTGGCGACATTGTGTTCCAGTAGAGGAGTAGTCGTGCTTTCCTGTGCGCCTGTCACGTCGGCGTATAATAAATTCGGTGGGTGCTTCTCGTGCCTCATAGGGGGCTCGATAAACGCAATAAAATAATCAATAAATAAAATCAATAAATAATAAAATATCAAGCATCGCTTATTCGATAAATGGCTCTGTACGCGGAGGTGAGGAATGGTCGTTTGAAAAAATTGCGTCCACTGGATATTGGTTCGTCTTCGTCGTGGTCGTCGTCGTCGTTATCGATGTCGTCGTAGTCGTAGTCTTCGTCGTCGTCGTCGAAACCGCCGCTGATAACTAATTTAACTAAACCCATGGTTGACGTTAAGCAATGCCGGCTTAAAATGGTGGGGCTGGGTGCAAAGAGGCATAGTTAGATTAATCGCTGTGTGACTGTAATTGAGCGTACTTAATACGTAGATGTGTGGAATTCCAGACGTTAGACATGGATGTGGGCAAAGCCGATTTCGAATTGTATCGACTAAAAATACAATTTACGTGTCAAGTTCAGCTGACATCATTAGAACGAGATCGGAAATCGAGATCGCTATTTTAATGCTGACCTTGCTAACTCGATTTATTATTATGGAAAGAGT